GCGTCCTCGTCAAAGTGAGCAAGCACACGTGGTGTCTGCAGGCGCTGCCGTAGATCGTCAAATGCTGCTTGTTCCTCTTCGCCCCATAAAAATGAAACATCGTCTCTCCTTATGCGTGTTAAGGGTGACGCTATATATATGCGAGAAATCGGCGATAAATCTGCGGTAGCAGACGCAGAGGCCAAGAAAACGTGTCACGGCCTTCTTATTCGTTGGCACCTCAAACTTTCCGACGGCATCAATATTGTCGGTGTCCGCACGAACACCTTCATAACTCAAAAAAGAAGTTAACTTCTTTTTTGTGCTATGTACCAACTAGACCCAACGCAAGTTTTACTGACCTTCATAACTCACCACATGTCGTAAGAATCGGAGTTCATTGAAACCAAAATGATATTTCTCAGGTTTCAGCGTTAGGCCGCCGCACCGTATTCCTTGACATACCAATCGCAGCTGTCTTAAATGTTCTTCGAATGATGCTGAGAAAACAATGACGTTGTCGAGGTATACAGACATGTCTGCCACTTAAGGCCTGATAGGACGGTATTCATCAGTCTCTGAAATGTTGCTGGAGTTGAGCACAATTCGAAGGGCAAGACTTTGAACTCGTAAAGCCCGTCAGGCGTGACGAAAGCAGTCTTTTCTCTGTCTCGCTCATCAACCTCAATTTGCCAATATCCGCTTTTGAGGTTCATCGACGAGAAGAAGTGTGCATGCCTCAGCCTGTCAAGCGAATCGTCAATATGCGGGAATGGGCATACGTCTTTCTTTGTGACATGGTTCAGCTTGCGGTAGTCCACACAGAAGCGTAAGCTGCCGTCTTTATTCTTAACCAGCACTACCGGTGACGTCCAAGGGCTTTCTGACGGCTGAATGATGCCATCATCAAGCATTTTCTAGACTTGTTTTTAGATTGCTTCACGTTCTTTCGGTGCCACGTTGTATGGGTTTTGCCGAATTGGTCTTGCCGTGTCTTCTGTTATAATTCGGTGCTTTGTCAGTGGCGTTGGATTTACCTTCGAGATCAATGAAAAACAATCTTCGAACTGGCCGAGAACATCTAGAATACTCTGCCTCTGCGCTGGCAATAAATCTGTGCTCACATTGACAGGTAGTGGTGTTGAAGTGGCTGGCGCCTCTGCCTGTTGCAGTGTGAAGCACTCGCGGAATCCTGCAATTTCTGTGAAGTATGCAAGTGTTGTACCCTCTGTAATGTGTCAACTCTCGTTGCTGAAGTTCGTCAACAGGACCTCTGCTTGCCCAGACACTACACTGACGAGACTTCAGGCAATACCAATTCTTCGAGAGAGTAAAAGCGTAGATACATGTTCCGCGACAACTTCTCCAGTATTATGCGTGTTACACGTGACAGAGGCGAGGCAGCACGATGATGGTAGCATGGTCACGTTGTCAGTGACACGCATGGGCTTGCGCTGCAGCACTGCGCTATGGTCCGATAAGAAGGTCAGTACACTGTCCGGTATATTTATGATGGCACCATACTCCCGAAAAAAAAACCATACTCAAGACGGCCTGTTTACAACACTCAGAAAGAATAACGAAGGTTGCGACAAATGATGAATCCCCGATCTTGATTTCTGCGGTTTACGTTCCGGTAGGCGTGAACAGCTGGCCGCCAGCTCCTCCAATTAGCGGTCCCGTCCATTCCATTTTCACCTTCTTGAGTTTGTCGGCCAGATTCGCACTCATTATTGAAAGTCCGCACCAATGTTGACCAGCGCCGTCACGTCGTGACCGTCTATGGAAAGTGTGATGTTGGCGTATACAATCTCATCTTTCGTCGATTCATTCAAAATGTGCGGCGCTTCGTGCTGCGGTTGTGGGGGATTTTCAACTCTTCGGCAATTCGCAACCTCCCCCTCTAAGGTCGCTGCTTTTTGTTTCCTCGGCGTGGACTGGGAGATCTTTATCTCGCCATGTCCATGGTGCTACCTCTATTAAATTGGGGAACTCCTCAAACCAGGAGAAACGTCCTACGGGGTCGTCGTGCTCGTATCAACTTTGCGTCTTCCGTTGAAATAGCGCCGAGGGGTAGTTGATGGAAATCCTTGGTATCCGGCGATGCGATGAGGACAATACCACACGATGTGGCCTGCTTGCCCACAATAGAGCACAAGGGCCTGTAGTCAGGGGTACGCTAGATGTCGGTTTTGCGGAGTCGAGGTCACATCGGCATCGACGTTTCCTTGTAATACCAAGGCACTGCCGGCGGCTGCTGCTGATGGTACTACTGATTTGGCGGCACGTTAGATGACTGTCGACGGAGAATATCTGCATATGTTGGCCTAACAGTGTATGTGTTCGGCTCGGGAAGTGAAAGCGCTTGCCTTATTTCTTGGTGCACAACTTCTGTGACCGACACAATCGTGCAGTCATTCGGTGTGGCGGCGAGCTTCTTCACCTTTTCTTGCACAATTTCGCGTATCAGGTCACGCAACAAACGCTCGTCAGGTGTCACAGTGGTCATGGCTGTTGCGCTGAATTGTCCGCTGTTGTTTGGGCGGTCACACTGGCAGTAGCGTAGCTGTAGTGCACGTTCGATGGTGGTCACCTCCTTCGAAAATTCGTCGACGCTTGAAGGTGGGTTCCTCATGAGACCAGCAAAGAGCTACTCTTTAGCACCACGCATGAGGTGGCTGATCTTTCTGCTCTCGGACATATCGGGATCGGCTCGATGGAAGAGACTAGCCATGTCCTCAACAAACATAGCAACAGATTAGTTTGGCTTTTGAATCCGTGATTCGAGGAGTCGTTGGGCATGCTCCCACCTTTTTGTGTTTGCGAAGGCGTCCAGGAACTCACACTGGAACTCGTCCCACGTTGACCACACGTGATTCGTGAACATGTGTGAGCCCCGTCTTGTAGAGGGAAGTACACGTACCCCAACGGCTGTGCAGCGTTCCACTCGTTAACGTTGGCTGTGCGCTCGAACTCCTCAAGCCAGTCATCTGCGTCCTCATATGTGTTGCCGTGGAAGTCCACAGGAATTTTAGGGGTGAAAACAGTCACCTGTGCCGTGCTTGGGCTAATCATGGCGGGGCTACTGCTTCCGGGCGCGGTCATGTTTTCCGTCCAAGGACCAAACTCCGGGCTCAGGCCTAACAAGCAGCGGCTGGCACGATGAACGGGTTTTTCGACGAGTGTAAGTCTTTGTGTACTAGATCCCGAGCTGTTGGAAGGTTATGGACATGTACCCGGCACCTCCACCAGTGTCATGACTCAGACACAGCAGAAGTCGGATATAGGAGAGCTCACTTTAATTTAGTACTAGGCGCTCTTAAAGAGGACCGGGCAAGAACTTCGTTGTTCTTTCTTGCTGCGCTAGATCTTCTCTGCAGATAGAATGCAGCAGTATTTCGTCATCTGTGTCCGTAGAGCCGTTTGCTGATGACTCCATTATTTTAAAAAATTGCTTCAGCTTGCGACCAAGATTTGCTGCAACAAGCACTTCATTATATAAGTTCTTGGTGCCACTCTAGGGATATGCAGCTAAATTTACAGAAAACCAATTACAAGGATTCACTAGAGAAATAGCACCAATATTATTTGAGTACCAATCCGGCAGCGTTCCCATTCAAACAGTTGACAGTTACAAGTGCCTTAGAGCCACTTTTCCTAATAAGCTATGGTGGACTTAACATATTACAGAGATATGCTTGAAGCCAGTTAGGAAGTTGTGCTTCTTGCGTAGAAGGCTCCGTCTTGCTCCACCTCAGGAGCGCTTGCTTGCTGTGAACACTTTCATGCGATCAAAATTAGAATATGCGATCCTAATTCGAGAACCAGATATGTTAAAGGACCCTAATCAGTTCATTATGATTGAACGCAAGGCTATTAGATTGATTTTATTAAATGTGCGCGAATAGATATCCGTACTGCCCGATGATCAAAAACAAAATATTTTCTTTACAGTCCAGAAGAAAGTTACATCTCAAAAATTTCCTACATACGATATTAGCTAGGGGCTTGAATGTAGGTGACTTGCCATACTTTCATGCTGTTGCAACGAGACGAACAAGGAACACCAGACCTCATGCACTGAAAAAAAATTTCGCTAAAGCTAACTCGCTTCAAAATAGCTTCTTTTCCAAAACTATAGAGGACTAGAACAGGCTTTCAGATTCATTCATTACGTCACGACAGTTCGTCCAAGCTCTGGAAGAGCATATTTATTTAATAGAATATACGTTTCTTCAGGGCTGATGTTGTTTTATATCTTCACGTATGAGCGTTATTAATTTATGCACCCATGTTCAAAATTGTATAATTGAATGTGTTAAGCCATATTTTTATGTTGTTCTTCTACGTGCACTACCCTTTCTGCTAGGACCAAGCCGCCCAGCAGTATAATGAAATAAATAAATAAATAAACAAATAAATGAATAAATAAATAAATAGTCCGCTATTGACTCCAACGCCCCGCGCGTTGTTGTAGCCATATTTAGCAACACTGCTATCACACGCTCCACACTGTCTTCAAACCATGGCCACCATCGAAGCAAACTCGACTGCCTGAGAAGCTCGCATCATACTGCATAGCACCCGTGAATTATGTAACTGTGTGTACTAAGCTACACTAAGTTTACTTATTGTAATTTCATGTGGTACATATATTTTCTCCTCTGTCAACACAGTGAGCTTGCTTCAAAGTCCTTGACCACCAACTGCCTCCAGTGCTGAAACAAAAAGACAGTTTTGTGACAGATCAGATGAATGGACAATTGTAGACCAAGAACAGCGGTCTGACAACTGAATATTTGCGAATCTCGCTCACAGCAGCAGGGAAAGAAAAGGCTCCGTCCACAAGGTTAAATATTTTTATCTTAATCTTCCATGCTTTACAATGAAGAGTTGAAATTCTGACGGCTGTGTATGAAATTCATCATTTCTATTTCAATGAACCTGTTCGATACAGAGGTGCATGTATAAAAATAAAATCGTGCGGGTCGAGTCTTGATCGTCAAAGTTACAATATATTTTAAAAAAAGCTATAACTTATACGAAAAGCCCTGTCCCTCCACTTTCTATTTTACATAACAAGGAAAATATTCACGCAAGTTGTTCTGTATTGTTTCGAACATATATATAAGTTAGGCAGAGAGAACTAAATATTCAAGATATATTGGTTCATTGAAGATGACCCGAAATACGACAATCGTTATCTTGGTCCTGACCATATGTACTTCCCTTGTCCATGTGTACGCGCAATATGCTTCAGCACCATCCGCATTAACCTCCAATTATGGTGGCTCGAGTTGGGCCTGGCCTAACTGGCCACTACGCCACAGTACGTATCCTAATTTCTCATATTTTTATATTGTCTTCACCAAATCAATGAAGTACACAACTAGTACTTGTCAAGCTTAGATTACAGCAATTGTTACCTTTAAACGATGTTTACTAATTTTTACGAAAACGAAGTGAAGCGAAGGCCACAAAAAATCAACCATTTGGCTGGTGAGATCCGACGAAAAAGTGGTTGTTGGTCGGCTCTCCTAATAAGAAGCAGACTGTGACCATCCGATGGTGTCAGCCATTGGCGGTTACGAGTGGCGTAATTAGTAGAAATTCAGGGAAGGGGTTAACTCCCCTCTTGGTCCGGAAGGAGAGGTACACTCCTCGTAAGTGCCTCCTACTTTGATTTGTCTTTAAAAAATCACAACTGAACTTCTTTGCGTGCAATACCGGACATTTTTTGTAAAACCAACTCTAAAATATGAAGACGTCTGGATTAGTCGAAACGAAAGAAGTTGCTTGCTGTTCAAAAAAACCACTTATAAGACCAGCTTTTTGAAATGCTGCAAATTACAACTGACGAGTCAGGGACGCTTTTTTAAGGTATTTAAAATGCATTATAAATAATCTGCTGTGTTGTAAGTGGCCAATTATGTGAAATCCATTCACAGTGAAGTGCAAGTACGAGTGCTTGTATTTGATTGTGTTAATTACACAATCAAGGATGAACACAGATATGCCTTAGAAAATTGTTTCCGTAGGCTAATTCTAGCCTGCTATTTCTGATCGGAATGCGAGATATGAAGTGGAATGGAAATAAACATAAAATGCGCCCCTTTACGCATAATCACAAAAAAGTGCTGCCGTTTTCCTTTTGTATTTTGCCCGAATGACATAGCTGCACACAGGTAAGTGCCTACTTACGGGTAAAAATTACAAATGAGCTTCGCCATGCGACGTATCCTTACATTTTCTGCTCGGTGCTCTTCTTAGTGTGGATATGGGGCCGACCTGTCGTATGCTGTCATCTGCTGTGATTGTATGCTGCCATTATTCATGGACGCAACACTGGCAAAACCACGTATGTGATGGCGCTCCGTAGCATGTTGAGCATGTGGTCTCGCTAAAAAGAAGTGTAATTCCTCTTGTTCTTCGATAGCCTTCGATGATGGCATCGCAGGTAAAACCACATAGAGCATTGCCGGAAGCGACATATTCGGTGCACGCTCGCGACAAGGAGACCCCTTTGTCTTCTTCTTCGTCGAGAGCCTTGATGATGATATTAAGGACGGACATTACTATCATGTTTAGAAAACGAAACAAAGACCATGTGAAAATTGAACAAGAAAGCCAGCAAGAGTAGACAGAGAAAACAAAAAGAGGATAACAATAAAATTTACCTGAATAGAAATAAAAACAAAAGCGAAAAAATTGTTTAAAGAAGAAGAATCGTAGGAGGAAAGGTAGACCAAACCAAAGCGCAACAAAGAAGCCTGCCTAACACCAAACTTTTTCAGGCTAGGCACTACAGGGAAGCTGATAACGTTTCTCTGATAAAGAATAAGTTTGCATAGACTTTTCGATACAAAGTATCATTTAATATGATATATTTCTTATTTCTATCAAAGGAAAGCATGATGGTAAATACATCTGACGACGACCCCCACTGCAAGACGTGTGCCGAGCATTGTAGTTTTTCTCAATTTATGCCATTGACGACAACACATGTGGCATTAAAAAAAAGTCACAGTTTCGCTGCAGGGACGAATCAATGAATGCGATGAAACGGGTTGTTGAACAAGCAGGAGTTGACTCGGCGAAGGAGAGCTAACAACAAATTGGAATGTCAAACCAACAGCACATGCAGCACGCTGTTCTTATAAAAAATGGCAGCATATCCACGGAGTGAATGAAGTATAATGGGGCGAAGCATCCATCCGTCCGTCCATCCATGTGTGCGTCTGTGTGGCCACCCGTGCATCCACCCGCCCATCCGTGCGTGCGTCTGTTTGTGCGTACGCACGTTCATCTATGCGTCCATCCCTGCTTTCGTCCATGCATCCGCTTCTGCGTCCGTCCATGCGTCCATCTACGCGTCCGTCCATGCATCTGTCTGTGTCTCCGTTCGTCCACCTATTCGACACTTCAAGTACCACCATCCCGCATCCTTTCATCATATATTCCTCATATAGAAGCACTGTCATCCAGCGGACATTTCAAGGACTGAACGAGAGGAGGCACACGCCAACTGTCTTACGGCTTGCGCTTCGTGTCTACTTCCCACCTTTAAACAACTCGAGTTCATGGTATATACTAGTTCACTGTATTCATGGCACTGCGGCCCAACGCTGGCTAAGCCTTTCTAAAAACTAGGAAGTTACGCCCAGCGAGCATAACGAAGCAACCCTTTCTTGTCGTCTGTGCGTTGTTGAAGAATAAAGATTCGCAGCGTGCGCGTTAACTAAAAGCCGAATTTTCCTGTCTCTCATTCCCCCTTAGCAGCCATCGGCATGTACATTGAGCACTATCTTTTATTGTTCAACAACGCACAGAATAAATCTCTCACCGGCACCACCTTGAAGATCAAAATGTTATACTTGCTACACGCTACTACAACGGCTACGAGGGACAAACAGATGCCGCTTAAGAAGCTTCGGCCCTTAAATCAAGCAGAAAAATAACACCTACAAGATAAGCGCAAGCTAGCTAACGTTAACAGTTCAACCACCAACGCGCTGTTATTGATGTAAAGCAAGAATCACTTGGCCTCCAAGATATAAGCCGTGCGCTCACCAAAAAGAGTCTCAGAATGCCTCACAAATGGCAGCGCGTTATTTAGCATTTCCTGTTTGGTTGATCAATAATTCATTGATTGATTTGTGGGGTTTAACGTCCCGAAACCACCATATGATTATGAGAGACGCCGTAGTGAAGGGCTTCGGAAATTTCGACCACCTGGGGTTCTTTAACGTGCACCCACATCTGCGTACACGGGCCTACAACATTTCCGCCTCCATCGGAAATGCAGCTTCCTTAGCCGGGATTTATACCGCGACCTGCGGGTCAGCAGCTGAGTACCTTAGCCACTAGACCACCGTGGCGGGGCTGTTTGCTTCATCAACGCCTCTGGAAACGCATGATATGTTTTCCGCTAGATGGACCCAGTTGTGCTTTTTTAGAGCTGTTTGGAAGTTCCTGTGTGTTTCAGCGGCGATGGCTGCACTATGCAGGCTTTTTTCGACGTAGTTTGATGGCCTCCCAAATGCGCCTACAAATCGCCGAATGCGCTCGTTTTCGTCGTGACACCTGTCGACCAAAATGCCTTAAAGATACACCTTCCACTACACGGCATTTATGTAGTGTTTTTTCCCGAAGCAGCTGCAAGTAACATCGTGGCTTTGTTAAATAAATAAAGAAAAGAAAACATCGTGGCCTTGAGGTAGAACACATGCTTGCCACGTAAATGAGCCGGTTTCGATCCTTAGTGCGACTGAAAATTTTATTCTTTACTTTATTTGCTTCTTTCTCGATTTTTCGCTCACACATAACGGGGCTGACACCGATGGCAGAATTTCTGCGACAAGAGCTCACTAACGCTATCACGTTAATACACAAGCTGGCCGCCAAGCGCGCCGTTTGCGCCATGTCACTAGAAAGCTGAGGACAGGGTGTTATTCCCCAGAGGTCGGCGTAAATGGTGTATATAAATTGCTCGCCCCTGCTGTTTGCCGTGACCGTTGGAGAAGACATATAGTGACGGCAAAGATCAGTCGATGTATATATATATATATATATATATATATATATATATATATATATATATATATATATATATATATATATATATATATATATATATATATATATATATATCGCATGAAGAAAGGCAGGGAGGTTAACCGAAAAGCTAGTTTCTGGTTCGCTATGCTATACTGAAGAAGAGGAGACAGAAATGTAAGAAAGAGGTAAACACACACCCTGCATTGTCACAATTATTTGACGAGGCGAGTTGCCCGTGGAAACTCCGAAAGTGCCCTCGTCGTTTTCGGCATGACGCTTGATCGTTTCGGAATTACAAAATTGATTTCACGGAAAGCAGCTGGTCGTCGAGGCATGCAAATGCTGCTTACATGAACTGCCATTGAGAGCTGTACTGAGGGCAGTGACATAAAATTTGTTTGATGGTTTCGTCAGCGTCACAATCGTCACACGCAGCACTTTCGGCCCAGAAATTGCGGCACGGAAAGGCGTTTGTATAAGACACCCCAAGCGGCATGCGGCAAAGAATAGTTGTGTCAGATCGGAATAAACGAGGTGGAGCGGTAAGTCGTAGACACGGATCCACGCGGCGAAGACGGGTGCGAAGAAAATCGGGCGTGTTCCACGGAGACCCGGCGACATTGTGGTCTAGCGTGTTATTCCTTGCTGCTGCGTCAGATTTTGATAACGGAATAGGATTCGCCACGCCATTTTCGTGAGTGTTTTCTGTAGCAGCGTCGGCATGCTCGTTATCTATGATGCCGCATCGGTCTAATAATCAGGAAACAGTTACACCATGTCCTTTATCTAGAACTTTTGGTACAGTTGTCGTGTTTCCAGCACCGATTAGTCTAGAGTTCCACGACATAGCGCAGTTCAAAAACATCACTGAACATACGGAAAGCGCAACTTGAAAGTATATAGCTACAGTGTGACTATGGAAGCAAAGATAAAAGATTAGAAAAGAGCGCTGTATTCTTGTATGTTTGCCACCGTAGTTACACTGTAACTACTTTTAAGTTGCGCTGTTTGTATATTCAGTTATGTCCCACCAACTTGCCCAAGTTTCCACACCTCGAAAACATCACAAAGCTAGTTTCGAATAAGTAAAAATGCACCATTTTAGAGGCGCTTCTCGATCAATCCTGCAGAATGCACAGCATGGTGGCGTGGGCTCTGCGGCTATTGATGCTGTTTCCTGGCACTGTGAAGCGAAGGGTTGAATGGTCCAAACATCAAGGCGGTGTGAGGATACGCTCTGGAGGTGTGTGGCCTGCTGGAAGGCATTCCCTGTAACTCAATATTCTCTCTCAAAAGGAGGCAATTGTTCGGTCTTCTGGAAGTGAAGCGAGATGGTGGGCGAAGGTGCGAGCAAGGTGCCTTATATGCGCTCGAAGCACCTACAGAGCAATTTTCATTGTGGCTGGATGATCTTTGGCGATTGCGATGGTCCCCACGGTAGAGGTGCAGCGTAGTCGTCCAAGACAAACTCTGAGTGCCTGGCCCAGGGAGTTCTCGATTCTGCCTATACTACTTTTGCAGGTGTTCGTAGAAACTGCAAGCTGTACCGCAGGTGCACCAGCGAAAAGTGACCATTTGATTGCCATTGCAATAATTTTCCCCCCGAGGCTCATGCTATAAAACTCGGACATGAAACGGCAGCCATGACGGATATTGGGAGATTTCGCCGAAGAAAATTCAGGTTGTGGCATTACTCTCGCAATGACCTTTACTTCATTTCAGCAAGCTACCGAGTCGCTAGATGATTTTAAGTAGCGTCTTTGTATTCCTTGAAATAAACTGAAAAGCCAACAATAACCTCGGTTAAGGGATGATGGCTTGGGCTAGCTGGTCTATCATGTATGATTATTCTTTCAGCGCGAACAAAAGACTATAACAAGATCGTCCCCTTGTTTTGCCTGTGCGTGTCTTTATCACAATCATCAGCTTGCCCTATATCAACAGTTTAAGCTAACCGTGGCTTTCATATTTACGTGTGCTTAGACAACATCACAAAGACAGCCTATAAGTTTTCAGTTCTTCAAAAATGAGGAGAAGCTTGAAAATTGATCTAATGTCTATGTTAAACATTAGCACGACTACATATAGACTTAATAATGCAGATAATGAACAAAATATACCATGATATACACATGCACGCCAGCATAAGCAAATGCGAGAGTTCATATGGTTAAATATCTCAGCTGTTCACTGTATCCATATTTCATTGCCAGAATGCTGGAAAAAGAACGAAGAATACAAGACCTGTGTAAGCGGAAGTTGCAGCGAATGGACTTGTCAATATCTCTACAAAGGCTGGCCTACTCTATGCACCTACGACTGCCAGAGTGGATGTTTCTGTAAGGAAGGATACTTCCGGAATCGCCGTGGCAAGTGTGTACTTGGATACCGGTGTTTCAAAGAAATATTGCCTGTTGTGGGATCGTTTAATGAGTAATAGTAATCAAGTATTCATGACGGTAGTTTCTTTTAGAGGCCTTTTAATTTTACTTATAAAGAATTTGCAGCTTCTTGAATGGTTCGACAATAAAAATTGAGAAAAGGCTGAACGGCGTGTTGATTGTTTCTGTGACTAAATTTAGGACTCACGCGACAAGTATACATTGCTAAACGCCAACGGCTTGTGCGTCGGCTTGTTCTTTATGTTTTCACTACTCACAGTGGCGGGAATTTCCCACTTGTTGGGTGCCCATCGACTTCAAATACACGAGTCGGTTTCGAGAATCACGAATATGAAAGGTTTAAAAACTTGACATAAATTTAAAATACGGTGACAACATTTACAGATGATGACGCAGTTCATGCAGTCATGATTTTGCTTGTTTCACATTTCCGCGGTCACCTAGGCCGCGATAGAGAAATAATACGTCGTTAATTACAAATGGCATCGGATTTGCGTTACCGAAAGATAGTTACTGGCAATCACTTTCCAAGCTTTGAAAAGATGCATCACAAGCTATAGGCAGCCACTAGTTGCCATGATTTTTAGCGGCTCTTTGGGATACACCATCACATTTTCCTTTTGCGAGATATCTGTCTTTTTTAATTTGAGTAAATAGGGCTTTCTGATTCGAGGATGGTTATAAGAAAATGGAGAACTGGACCTAATATTCATGGTTGAGTACATGAAATAATCATTTCTTACAATACTCCGAGAACAAGTATTGAGCTTGAATAGGTTCCGATCAAATGAAGCGGCGATGCTCCAATACCTACTGAAACAAAGTACCCATAGAGAGCCGGATACTGCGACGCTGAACGAAACGCGGGATTCGCAACTCGCCCCTCATCACACGAAACGTATTTGAAATGTCGTGAGAGGTGCGTCTCACCCGGCAAGGCCTGCGAAGCCAGCGGGCAACCTTGGACCAGGCCGAACGAGCCGCTCGGGCCAGTGGGGCCCTGGAATAAGGGCTTCACCCACGAAAGCCCTAGTATGCCGTTTCAATGAATGCTTATTCATCCTCCTCCTCCGAGTGATTGGAGTGACAGACTGATAAACTGGCCCGTTTGTCAAGTAGCGTGCACATAAAAATTTCGTACGAGTTGATGACTCAATTTCTCTATCGCTACCAGATTTAGCTTAGCAACACCTTCAAAAAGGACATTTTTTCATGCAGATGTTTTTTACGGGCATTTGATTGGCGGCACAAAGGTTAGCTTGGTGGTTAAAATTATGTTCAAGACACGTGTTCAGTGTCTTCAGGTGATTGCCGACCTTGCATGTCAATGCGACCATCGGGCTGCGCACCTTCCTTTATATATATATATATATATATATATATATATATATATATATATATATATATATATATATATATATATATATATATATATATATATATATATATATATATATATATATATATATATATATATATATATATATATATAAAGAGAGAGAACGTATTCGCTTTTTTTACTCATTTAGACAGAACGTGCTCTGATGAGTGCTCATGAAGAAGTTAAGAGCAAGCTTGGCAGACCGTCGGAAATAGCGTGATAACAAAACTTCAATTCTATCTGTGAAACATCGGCAGAGGCTGAATGAACATGTTACATGGAAGCTAAATATTAAGAAAGTATTTTTATATTGAAAGTGCGTGCAGCTAAGCACGTCTTACGATACTCCAGCTACGTGAACAGATAAACATACTAAAATATTTCTATTAGAATCAGCTGTTTAGCAAGGTTTTGTAATGAGTTAGGAAGTATGAAACCTCGAAGGACACCAGCTGCTTTTTAGATTTTTTCATACAATATGGAAGAGCTTGGCAAGGAATACATGTGCTGACACAGATTATTAGTAACATGAGATTTCCTTTCGTCCTTAATGACACACGTCTACTCTCTGTGTCAACTGAAGCCCGAACGGCAGCAAGCCTTCGCGATGGTACAGTGCGCACCATACAGTTATCACCATCGACAGGCGCGGTTACTGTTCGGAAGCTCTACGCATATATGCGCGTCTGTTCATGGTGATGAGTGAACTGCATGCACTATACTAATTCATTTATTTATTTATTTGTGCATACTGCAAGCCCTAATCGGGCCCATGCAGGAGTGGATACATAGATGTAACATGAGACATAATAACGCTCCACAAAAACAAAACAAAGAAAGCATTGATACAGATAGGATAGTTCGTGATTAACATTTATACGTTTAAAAAAAAATCAATCTCTTCTAGACAGCTGACAAAAGATTCCAGCGTAAAACAATTCACAGCATTGACTGGCAGGCGATTCCAAAAACTAAGGGCCATTGGGAATAAAGAATACTTATGTGTATTGACATGGCTAGTAGGTTGAAAGATGACCTAGTTTGTCCTGAGTGAATGTTTAAACGGGTCCTGTAAGTACAGATTGCGCGGTATCTTAAAATGACCGTGATAGAGTAAGTACAGAGACTTTAACCTAGAAATTATTCTTCGTTTTGAAAGTGGCTGAAGATTCGGTCTATTAATCAGGTCAGTGACGCTTGAATGCCACGAATAATTAAAGTAGATGAACCGTGCAGCTAATTTCTGAATGCGTTCAATTTTGTCTATTAGGTGTTGTTGGTGGGGACTCCATATTATGTCGGCATATTCTAAGGCAGGACGAATAAGAGTCTTGTATACATTTAATTTGACTTGGGCCGGAGCATTTCGCAGCCTTCTTCTAAGAAAGGATAGCTGCCCTACCGCTTTTTTGCAGATGGTGTCGATATGAGGTTTCCAACTTAAGTTTGGTGAAAGCGTGACACCAAGGTATTTCACCTGATCGCTTTTAGGGAGTTCAATATCTTCTAAAGTGTACGAGAAATTAAGCGGATTCTTCTTATTAGTGAATGTGAGACATTTCGTTTTAGATGCGTTCACTCTCATGCCTCATTTCCGGCACCAAGCACAAATATTTTTTAGAGAGTTATTCAAGCCGATTTGGTCCTCTGAATGTCTTACAACTGTATACACGACACAATGATCTGCAAAAAGCCGCATCTGGATTGGTGACTGGATACAAAATTGGATATCATTGATATTAATAAGAAATAGTAGAGGCGAAAGGACTGAACCCTGCGGTACTCCTGATAAGAAGCTGGAAATCCACGAGATTAAGGTGTCATCAATACCAAAAGTCTGTAGTTTTGTGATTAAATCTTCATGTGGGACCACGTCAAACGCCTTTGAAAAGTCTAAGATCATGGCATCAACCTGACTGTTGGTTTTAACAGCGTTGGCAAGGTCATTTGTTATTTCGGCCAGCTGTGTTAGTGTTGACAACCCAGATCTGAATCCTTGTTGTTGGTTATAAATAAGGTTATTACTTTCTAGATGACTGATAATAGATTTAAAAATTATGTGTTCTATCACTTTACAACACGCGCTTGGTGATGATACAGGTCTGTAGTTGCTTGGTTCAAATTTAGAACCTGATTTTAGTACTGGAATTATTTTTGCCCTGCGCCAGTCATCAGGAATACTCGAGGTATCCAAAGACACTTTAAATATTACAAGTAAATATTTTGAAATCCAGGAAGCATATCGCTTCAAGAATGCATTAGAGATAGGGTCGGGACCAGTGGACTTCCTTAGGTCAAGTTTATTCAATAAATGTAATATTCCTTCTTCACTCATAACTTTTCCATAGGCTGCTCAACAAGATAGGCTGCCAGTGGCTCTTGTGAAGCAGAGTGTGTCAAAACTGACTGGAAATTGTTGTTAAGGTGATTCGCAATGTCTTTAGGTTCAGTCAATGTTATATTTCCAGTTTTGATTTGCGCAATGGTTGGTCTATCTTCTGACTAGTAGCGCCAAAATTTTTGAAGGTCATCCTTCTTAAAACTTGGCAAAGTTGCACCGTAAAATCGTGATTTCGCTTCACGTACTTTATCCCGCATGGTGCCATTAATATGAACGATTTCGTTTTTATCTCCCTTTGTGCGAAGGGTTGCCGCGAAGGGTTGCCGGTTTTCGGGTTTCATTTGACGCAGATAGTAGATCTCTAATAATAGTAAATTAGTATACTCCCCTCGCATCACGTACGCTTCCCTGTCCATAGGTTTGTGTCCCACTGAATGAAAAAGTAAAGAGTAAACCAAATGTTTATGTAATATTAAACCTGTCCATAGGTTTGTGTCCCACTGAATAAAAAAAGTAAAGAGTAAACCAAATGTTTGTGTAATATTGAACAATTTAGCGAAGTTTAGTATTTCTTTTTTTTTCATACTCAGAAAAGCGATTTACTAGTTGCTACGCATCAGTATGCTAAGGAGGACACTGTAACGACAAAAACTGAGCGTTTCTGATAAATTTCACTTAGATGACTAAAAGGCGAAAACAATCTTTTTTTTTAACAGCAAAGCTTTTTATGATAGCGGTAACTGGGTAACTGCTCCATCGTAAAAAAGCTATCATGCCTCAGAACCGGCTTGATTTCTCTTGAAAAACTGACTCGCGGCATCTTCAGTATTATTTCACTCAAGCTCTTTGATTGATGACTTTGTTAATTGATAGAAACCACTCTATTGAGGCCCTGCATGAGAAGTTCTGGCGCAGAGGGAGACTCTGACATGACGACCAGGTCATGCCTGTTGGCCCCTACGCACGCCTGTTGGGCAGCTGCAGTTTCACGAAGAGCATTGCGTGTACATGAATTATTGTACACATCATGTGGTATGCGCAGCGAAGCTATTGAAGTTATATGCAAATCGTGTTCTGTAGTGCAGAACTTATCTGGTCGGTATTTTAGGCATTCAGAATGATTTAAAGGGGCGGATTTCGAGACAACTTGAATAATTGGATGGCGTGTTACATGACCTCACATCAACACTTGTTTTTGTCCACGCCTCATCCAAGTGTCTTTCGGACGAATTAGCGCAACCTGTCATTCACATCGGGACTCTGGCGTTGCAACGCCACAGATTTAGCAAAAAAAAACGGGCTGGCAATTTGTATATGTATCCTACTTCTGCGCCAGCCACACCGCCATCCTGGCAGTTGATTTCAGCTCTGCTCGCACGCAGTTGAATTTATTTACGGGGGT